CAATGTAATCTTGGATATTGTTATGAAAAGGGAATCGGAACAGCTAGAGATGACGAGAAAGCATTTCAATGGTACCTGAAATCGGCTGAAAATGAGAATAGTGAAGGACAATATTATCTCGGGTATTGTTATGAAAGTGGGATTGGAGTTATTCAAAATGATGAAAAAAGCATTTGAGTGGTATCTGAAATCCGCAAAAGGTGGGAATATCAATGGACAATATAATATTGGATACTGTTATAAAAATGGATTTGGAACTACTCAAGATGGTGAGAAAGCATTTCAGTGGTTCCTGAAATCGGCCGAAGGTGGCAATGTGAGGGGACAATGCAGTCTTGGACATTATTATCATGAATTGGGAACCATAAAAGATGAAGAGAGAGCATTTCGGTGGTTTCTGAAAGCAGCTGAAGGCGGAAACGCTATTGGACAGTGTTGCCTTGGATATCATTACGAAAATGGAATTGGAACCTTACAAGATGAAGAAAAGGCGTTTCGGTGGTATTTGAAGTCTGCCGAAGGTGGAAATGCTAAAGGACAGAAAAACCTTGGGAAGTGCTACCAAGATGGAATTGGAACCACCCGAAATGAAGAGAAAGCTGCCTACTGGTTTAAAAAGTCAGAAATATCACATGAATTGATCACGATGCCAGACATGTGTTAGTATGTCTGATAGGTTTATTTACAGTATATTCTAATATTTTAAACATAACGTATTTATATTATTAGTACGGATATGATTTTTTTAAAAACAAATCATAATTGCTAAATCATTAGAATAAATAAAATAACAGAATGATAATCTGTTGACAATGATAATAATAAAATGTCAATATTAAAAAAAAACCCCCGTATGCTATTAAAATAAATTTTAAGATAGCATATAACAGTGGAAATATATGTATGTTATTAACTTGTGAAAAGAAAAACCAGAAAGAAGATATAATAAAGTTGCAATGTTAGTGATATTTTAAATTGTTATCAATTGCATGAATTTATAATGTAATTTGTTTTTATATAATCTTTTATTCAATATAAATTTGATGATACAAGAGGTAAATAAATAAAAACGAATTGGTTAGTTCTCAAGAGAATAATAATAATAAAAGTGCCGAAAGATCTGGAATATGTAAGGAGTGAAAGAAACATTCCTTCCGGTAAATGTAACAAGATTAAAGATATGTCCTTTAAACTATTCAATAATAATTTGCTCTTATAATTTATGAACGTGAAATACTTCATACTCGTCTATAGAAAACCATTCGTCTGATGTCCTAATAGGTAACTCATACCATTTTGTATATGGATTTGCACAGCATTTCGTATCTTTCGTAAAATCGGAACTAGCTGTTTTCATTCCCAAATTACCATTACCGAACCATGGACCATAACCACCTTCCGTATGTTGTGGATAATACCAAAGTGCCACATCATCATTATTTACGCGACTCAAAATAGATTTCGAGTTAACCCCATTATTTAATGAAAAAATAAAAGACTGCATAGTTTTGATTTTTCTGTTAGGTGATTCCTTGTCCCAAGCAATGGGATTATATCCACCGAGTATTTCGTTGGTACCTTTGACTCTTAAGACGACAATTGTCTCGGCATACCCGTCACACCTCTCCCAGAAAGTTTTTGGATTAAAACCATCTCGGCTACCCCGTACGAGAAGCCTAAATACATATGGGTTGCTTGATTTGTCGTAGTAATCTTTCCTTCGATCAATCCATGATGATATTTCGACTACATGTTCTTCTGTAATCAAGGTCGAAAATCGTTCCGTGTGTACAATTTCGGGAACTATATTTGAAGGTCGTTTTTCCTTCTCTTTTTCTCGGATAGGGTATTCTTCTTCAAACGAGAGCAATTCCTCGTCTGATGACTCATCATGTAAAGTTTCTGTTTGCTTTCCTTTCACTTCTTCGTCCGATGATTCATCATGCAAAACTTCCGATTTTTTTCCTTTGACTTTCGATGAATTCCCATTCTCCACGAATGCCCTTTCATTTGATAATTTTTCTTCTCCAAAGGATAATTGTTCTGTTGAATTTTTTTTTGCAAATAATTGAGGTGTTGAGGATCGAGATGGGTGTGATTGTGAAGACGAAGTTGATTGCGACATATAAGCCTGCGACGCATATTGTTGGAGTGGAGCATGTGGGTAGGTCGAAGATGATCGAGACGAGAATGGTTGAGAAGCGTACAGCTGTGATTGAGTTTCAAATGATTGTGATGCATAAGCATGAGGTGAAGGTGATCGGGACCGAGATAATTGTGAATTAAATGACTGTGATGCATATGACGGAGACAAAAATAATTGAGATGACGTCTGTGACGAATATGATTGATGAAAGATGTCTGAAGACGACTGTGGTGTATCTAGATGGGATGGTGTTCGAGAAGATGATTGCAACTCATATGACCGAGATGAAGAGGATTGGGATTCCCCAGTCGTCGAAATATTTCTCGGAGGTAATATGATGGTCTCTACAGGCCTATCAGGATCCGCCAGACGCATAGCTACATCTTTCGTAAAATCGGAACTAGCTGTTTTCATTCCCAAATTACCATTACCGAACCATGGACCATAACCACCTTCCG